AACGACAGCCCAGAGATTGAATTACAGGATTTATTTTCTCGCCATCACTCTCAACGACTATTTATAGTGCAACAGCCTAGTACGGGATGTATCCACTCGTCAGCATTCCCAAGACAGCAACTAGTGCAACAGACCGGGGTATGGCGTGTTCCACCGTCTCCTGGTAGCATTTGCAGCAGATACGGCCGGCGGCGAGGGCAGCTCTCACACAGGAAAACGGACACCACCTATGATCAGGCAGGCAGGGGAATAACACCGTCAGCTAAAGTTGTTGCTGTTGTTGTTGTTGTCTTCACATAGTAAAACCGTTCCGGTCTCCGCTCATTACCTCCGCAAAGAAATCCAATAAGCACTTCAACACGTTCTTAGCTTGCGCGTAGACGCGCACGTATGTATGTACACCAGTCCCAATGGTGTGGTAGGGCATATTCGAATATGGACAAAGAGGACTCGGTTGGTGTGTATATGCTTCTGACCAAATAACTACAGCACCGGCTGTTGCTGTTACACCTGGACCATTTGTGAAGATTGGGAGAACGGTCTTCGACAAAAAAAAAAAAAAAACACACACACAGGCACAGGCACTATTGGCTGGCAGAGGGAGCCCTCCCCCCTACTTTATTCTCTATCGCAGAGCTTTTCAAGCTTGCGAAATCCTACCTGCTAGGTCGGTGGATCCTTACCTGAAAGGGCGTGCGGACGGACGGACGCGTTCTGACGAAAAAATAACGTCGAGCAAATTAGATGTAGTTGGTTCTTGGAACAGTCTTCCGAACGTTCTCAAGGAGTTGCGTTCAAAGGTGCGAGACATCTTGCCACAGCTTATCCGCGGCTAGGCCAGGAAGGGTTGATGGAGGAACGCACCTGTACTGTAGCGTGGTAGGACGCGAGATTGCGCGCGATGATCCGGGGCGCTGCGGATGGGATGAGGAAAAATGGGCGCGCGGGGGGGGGGGGGGTCGTGTTCTGGGCGGGAGCAGGGAAACCAAACACGGCTACAGGCATGGTGGTTGTATTGCTATGTACCGCTATGCCGGCGTCCACCAAACACACGCAAGACGGACACGTGCCATTGTTCACCAGACGCAAGCCTACCCGCTCGCTTTGTACTGCTGTGTGCGGGTGCCGTACTTGTTTGTGTTTGTTGTTCGCATGTTGTGTGTTTTTCTTTGCAGTAGCATCGACCGCGCTGATGACCGGCTGACCAATGAAAGAAATCGTATAGCGGGGTAAAAAAAACGCGACCACCCTTTCCTATTATAGTCAAAGGGGTCTAGCGGTGATGTGTTTCTGGGTTGTTTTGTGTTGCAGCGACCGCGCTACATTGCGGGCTGACCAATGAAAAAAGCGTCATCAGTCGTACGGAGCGGGGCAAGGACTACGTTTGCTGGACTACTGTCTGTTGTTGTCGTCGCCAAACGATTACGCTTTGTAGCGATCGGCCGGTCCCGGCTAATAATGCGTGTGCATGTTGCGCTTCGCGGCGGCTTGCAAGTGCGCTCGGGTCGGCAAGTGCGTTTGTGTGAATGTTGCGCTTCGCAGCGGTCTTCTACTGCGGGGTGTTGTTCGTGCCTGTGTTTTGTGTTTCGTGTCTGCCTTGGTTTTCATCCACCCTTGACGCGCCCATCAGGTCCAGCGGTCGCCACCCCGAGCGGCCTCAAACCGTTGGATGCACCAATTCCTTCCCAGCCGTTTCCGCGACACGGACGTGGATGTTTCCGAAACGGATTTGCCAAGGAGGAGAGAGGTGAGAAAAAAAAAGTTAGCACGGCCCGCGCGCGAGAGAGAAACGGAGCGAGAAGATGTGTGGAGGCCACGGAAGTACCACACGAAAAAGGCACTGCTGCTACTGTTGTATGCCCGTGGCGTCAGCGGCGGCAGCGGCAACCGGAAACGCGACGAACCACAAAATCGTTCGGCGAAACGGTCGAAACCGTGCGAAACGGTCAACGGCGGCGAAACGGCCAAAAACGGCGAAACGGCCAAAACGCGCGACGAATAAAGCCTCCATCGAGAGAGGAGCCCCCATCGGCTTTTTCTCGTTTTAAACGGCGAAACGGTCAAAACCGTGCGACGGAAAAAGCCTCCATCGAGGGAGCGAGCGATCGGCGTCCCACCGGCTGTTTTTTTTTTTTTGCTAAAAGCGGCGAAACGGTCAAAACCGTACGACGAAAAAAGCCTCCCTCGAGGGAGCGAGCGAGCGACCGGCCTCCCACCGGCTTTTTTTTTTTTTTGTCGTTTTCTTTTCGGGCGGCGGCAGCGGCGGCAGCGGCGGCGGCGACATCCGGAAACGCGACGATCCAGTAAAACAAGGCGGCAAAACCGTCCGACGAACGCGGCGACCGTTTTTTCGCGACGAAAAAATACCTCCATCGAGGGAGAGCGATCGACCGGCCGCCCTCTTTTTTTCTTTTTTTTTTCCTCGTTGTGTCTCGACCGACGTCGTAAGATAACGCGGTCGCACGGGGATCCCGTTCCCCCCCCACGTTCCCGAAAATGTTGACCTCTCTCTCCGCCTCGATGTTCGCTTTGGGTGCGAGAGATAGCGAGCGAGCGATCGAGCGCGTGCGCGCGACAGTTTCCGGTATGCTGGCTTTATTTTTGTTTTTTCGTTTTGGCTGTCGATGCCGTGCTGGGAATGGTTCTTTTTGTTGCAGCGATAGAAACGAGTGTCATTGCAAAGCAGGAGGGGACCCGCAAATCGTACCCGCGTGTCCTGGAAGACCAACCTGAGGGCGCGCTGATGGCGTTGTTTACAACGTTCGGCCTTCCGTGTTTCATGTACCTGCCTCGCTCCTCCCCCCTTCTCTGGTGTTCCCCTCCGCATGTCGTACGCCAGCCACAGAAAACATTCAAAGACACGATTGACTCCCTTGTTTGTATTTTTCCTCGCGAACGAACGCACCCTCTATAGAGTTTGTACCCAATCGTCTAATGAAGTTTACCGCGCAAATAAATGCAGACGATCCGGAATTGTATCGAGGCTGCTTCCGTCCATGCCCCCTTCTTTTGGAACCGCATGTTACGTATTATATTCCCTCCACTCCCCGCTCCGTAGAGAGCTCGTTGGCCTTCGCCCTTCGCCCTTACCCATCCCTATCCCTTCCGTACTGCCCCCCCCCCCCTCCCCCTCCCTCGTGGTGTTCGTTTGCCAGACTACGACCACGGTGAACCCGATGATGAACGTCTTCAAGGCACTGGCGGGTGTGGCGTTGGGCGGTGCCGACATGGATTCGAGGACTAGGGGACACCCGGGGTAGGTCTTTTTCTGAGTGACGGACAGACACAAGATGGATTGATTGTTAATCTAGAGGACTGGGGGTAGGCATTTTCTGAGGTGACGCAGAAGACACATAAAGATGACTGTTTGGCCTGCCACATACTGCCGTTGTTGTTTTTTTTTGGTCTTTGACTGAAACACGCCTGCCTGCCTCCAACACAAACACGAGCACAGGTTCTGGCCCCCTTACATCCGGGTGCACACCGCGAACGTGTTGGTGGAAAACGGCGACGCTTTCGTGCACCACGCTTTCATGAGCCGGGACGTGGACCACCCGTGGTGGTTCTCGATCAAGGTGATTTGCGGTGGTGTTACGGCGAGAGGTATTTACCTCTAAATTAGCTCTCTAGGGTACAATTTTGATCAAGGTTCTCCATCAAGCAAGGTGTTTGCCGCAGTGACGGTGTGCATGGGGAGTTGTACCTCCCTAGTACGGAATTGTCATCAAGGGGGTATTGCCATAATGTCCCCTAGGTGGTGGTTCTCCATCAAGCAAGGTGTTTGCCGCAATGATGGTGTGCATGGGGAGTTGTACCTCCCTATTACAGTATGGGAGTGTTATCAAGGGGGTATTCCATAGCCCCCCGCCCCTCTGCATGGAGGTCGTGGTTCTCCATTGGTTGCGGTGGTGGTGTTCACGGGGAGCAATAGCTGTGCCTCTCTAGCGTTGAACTATTATCAAGGGGATGTTGCCATAGCAACGCCGCCTCTCTCCCGCCCCCTTCACCAAAGAAAGCAATAATTTCGTTCCTTTTTTTTTCATGAGTACTGGATTTTGTTTTGTCAACAATTGCTGTCAAAGAATTTCGTTCATTGTTCATTTTTCGTGAATACTGGCAGTTTTTTTATCAACAGCTGCTGCTGCTTGTGTGGCTTGCCTTGTTTGTGTGGGCTTGCGCAGGGGATCGTGATGCGCAACCGGCACCTGGACGTCAAGGGCCTCTTCTCCCACAGCTACGCCAGCGAGGTGTACAAGAGCCGGACGCAAGTCGTCACCTTCATCGAGGTAATTGTTCGGTTTCGGTTTCGGTTTCATAATGTTGCGTTTCAAGATGTTGCGTTTCAGCTGCGCCAACGAGGTGTACAAGAGCCGGACGCAAGTCGTCACCTTCATCGGGGTAATGGCTCGGTTTCGGTTTCGGTTTCGGTTGCATTATGTTACGTTTCCGCATGTTGAGCACCACAGCGGTGGCTAATTTCCTTCGGATCGACAAATTAGGTGGTGTTTGACAAACGTTGGGGAAGCTTTACCCTTTGTGAAGGGGATCTCCATAGTGTTGTTTTTGCTATTTTTTGTTGTTGTTGGTTTTGAGCTGGACATACGATTGGCGTTGTTTGCGTCGGGTAACGACTGCTGAAATGGGCACAGCTGCTGCGTGGGCGGGAGGTTTTTAGAAAATATACACAAAACATTCAAGATAGTTCCACAGCAGTCGTAAGGGGATGTGTTGAAGTCTTAGTCTTTACAGCGAGTGGGAAGAAAACCGGTCGTGGGCGGGAGCTTTCCTTGTTTTGGTTTTACTTATGATGGTTTTTGTGTCCACCCCCTTGTATCGCGCAATTTCTCGATCGGACACAGCTTACGGGGGCGCTGTTGCTCTTCTTGTAACCGCAATCTATACCGTTTCTGCAGAACTACGTGGAGGACGAAAACGCCGACGATTTGGAGAGCATGATCAAGACCAACAAGAGCCTGTGGGGTCTCTCGAGTAAGACTTGATTCACGGAGCCCCGCCTCATCCTCGACCCTTAGACGGGGCTACCTGCTTGTTTCTAGTTCTCCTTCGCTTTGCACGTTGTCGTGTTTCTTGCGGAGACGAGCCTGGATTGAACGAAACGCTTCTTCGCGTTTTTTGTTGCTCTATTCCGGTGTTTTCCTCTCATACTTTTGGGGTGAACGGTGAGCTTTTCCGTTTTATTTGTTTTTTCCCCTCGCCCTCCGCAAAATGAATGAAGGAGACACCTCGATGGATATGGGTCGAGGGAGATACGGCTGTCGATGTTCGCGGAAACATTGTCCCTCGCTCTTGGAACTGAACCGCCTCACGCCCCACCCACCCCCCCCCCCATCCTTGCAAAAAAACATTTTTTTTCCTCTCTCTTGAAAATGAAATGAGAAGGAGACACCTCGAAGGACTTGGGTCGGGGGAGACGGCTGTCGATGTTCGCCATAGAGGAGGTGGACGCGTCCGTCAACATCGACCCGATAGACCCGCCCGCGGCCTTCCGGAGGGTTGTGGTTGGCGAGGAGTTCACGGAGGCAGATGCGTTACTGCCGAGGCCGTTCAGCTCGGTGGACATCGGGCACTTTCTGACGGTCATGCAGGTGTGTGTCTTGTGTGTGTTTCTTGTTTCTTTGGTTGTGCAGATGTGAAAAGACTCCACCACATCCCGTTCGACTGTGGGTATATCTCGAATGGGTAGTCTTTCTGTGTGTGTTTTTATTATTATTTAATTAAGATGTGCTGGTGGCTGTGGTATGTGTGTGTGTGTGTGTGTGTGTGTGTGTGTGTGTGTTTGTGTGTGTGTTTGTGTGTGTGTGTGTAATTGTGTGTGTGTATGTGTGTGTTATTTTTTTTGTTAGCAGCCGAGGCATGGAAGAGGGGGGAGAGGAGCTGACGAGAGAAAGAGAGGATGAGAGACGCAGGGGCGGTCGCTGACCAAGCGCGGTGTCGTGTTGACAATACACACGATTCGCCGCGGAATGGTCGTGTGTAAGCTTGCGTATGTGCAAATATGTATTTGGCACGCACTTGATTTCGTCATACCCTCCCCTCCCCTCCCCACACACACACGGCGCTTCGCGCTTGGTGATGTGAGAGCCTCATCCGGTGAGAACCGGCGTTCTCCGTCCCGGCTTCGTAGGGATGCGAGGTCAATGGTCTAACGACTACGGCATGCACGACTATGGGTGCCCTCCCCCCCCCCCCCCCCCCCCCCTTTTTTTTCCCCCCAAACCCCCCTTTCCCCTTTTCCTCCCCCCCCTTTTTCCCCAATTTTTTTTTCCCCCCCCCCCCCCCCCCAAAAACAAAAAAAACCCCCCCCCCCCCTTTTTTTCCAAAAAAATTCTTTCCCAAAACAACCTCTTTTTTTTTAAAAAACCCCCCCCCCCCCCCCATTTTTTTTCCTTTTTCCCCCCCAAAAAAAAAAAAATTCCCCCCCCTT